CTTTTATATAATGAAAATGGTCAATTTTAAGGTAAGTCATATTTAGAAGAATTTTAGGAAAGATTTCTGAAATTCCTTATATAGGTCACAAACAAAACAAGATAGCAGCAGCAACCAAACCCTTTTGACTGCAGTTTGTTCTCTGCAGCAGGTCAGCTCAACTAGTGACATAATTCCTTGCCGTCACTTGGTATATTTTTCCTTGAAATCAAGGCTTACAGGTCTTAGGGGAAAAGATAATATGTCCCTAACCGGTCCATACTAACAATTGGGTGCAGGAGGAAAATTAACAGATATTGCAAACAAGAAAAGTTTAATGAGTACATCCTTTTGCCAATGCTGTAACAGGACATGCAATTGAGGAAGTGGCAGTACTCCATGTAACCTTCTGAATTATGCAGTCTCTGATAGTTTAACTAAGACTAAAGTCACATTTTTCACACTTATAATTAAAACTGCACTGTTACCTGTCAGGCAAGCTAAACAAATCCAAGGGCAAACACTGATGACAACTGCAAAACCATAATTTGCAGAGCTCCTTTAAATGCTAATAGTCTATTAAAGGTGTGGGTGAGCACACCTTTGACTAGAGGGATTAAAAAAAAGGAGGGAAAAATAGGGAAATGGCTTCTGAGTATCATTTCTATAAAGAAAGGAGGATGTATAAGTAGTTATGTAAGGAATTCTGACTTTATAAATGAGGACATAACTACCCTGAGGAGAACATGACATTTCATTAGGCACTTTCTTGTCATTTCCTAATGACAACTTCTTGACAGGAAAATCAAAATTTTTAAGTAACTTTAACAAATGACAGAAGCAAAACTTCTATAATAACCTAATGAAGATTTATAATTCCATACTGTAAGTACTTATACTCACAAAATGCCAATTATCTAACTGGCAGAACTCATTCGGGCTGACATTTCAGACTTGATACACAGTGAGAAAAAGCAGACATTCATTTACACAATGATTAGAAATGAGCAGAGAAACCTGGAAAACCTCTTAACCCTTTCCTCTCAATAGATAAGCATATTTGACTCAAAGGGGCAAAATTAAAACTGCCACTACTCATGTACTACAAATCAAAATGAAGATAGAAGAGAAATTAAAATACTTCATATTTCAAGTTCAGCAAAGTCTCCTCTACCATAGAGTGGCTCCACTAGAAGTTCCACTCTACAGTGGTAAATCCAACAAAAATGAGCCTGTCCTCCAGGACCAAAATTAGTGGACTGTTTTGGAAAGCACTTACTTGGAGTAAAAGCAAACTTAGCAGCCTCCCATTCAAGAATGACAGACATAGCACAAATAACACTCACTTGCAAAAGGAGAGTGCTTAGCTTTCAACATGGTGTCAAATGCTACCTGTGTTATGGTTAGGTACCGTGCCAAACTCTGCTAATCACTGACATTATAATCTTTCCATATTTTGTTTCCATTTCCATATTAGAGAATAAATATTCCTATCACTCTTAAGCATCTTGCAGTATGGTTCATGTTCTCCTAAAATACACAGAGAACAATTATAGGAATAAAAAAGAAAACTACTTTGCTACATAAATCATTAAAAGCTTTCAATAGCACAAAGAATGACATTCCAAAACACTGTAATGTTGACATTATACAAAGTGATAGAAGTGCAGTAAGCAATCTGATTACTTCCATATGTATCTATCCGTACGAGAAAGGGACACAGTACAATTTTAGCCAGTTTGGTCTCAGGAAATTCAAAGGATGCTGAAGATGTGTATGTCAAAATGCAGAACCCTACATAGTGGTGGGGGCCCACACCTTTTCCACATCTAAATAAGAAGTAGACTACTGCTCCTGATTATGTTCACTGGGCACTACTTTAGAAACCACAGGAACATCTAATAAAACTCAACTACAACTTGAAGAGTACTCTTGAAGCTGTAGGTTCACAAACAAGCCATTCAGACTGCAGACAAGCTGGAATATGACTGAACTAGACTAGGAAATCCATGAGATTTGTTATTTTACTCACCTGGGTTGCTGTCATCTCTCACGTCTCACACTGTAGCTCAGATACGATTGTCCTCCATAAAACTGAACTTGAGAGACACTGCAACTCCACAAGTGCATCCTAAATCCTTACTGCCTAAATCTTGTTACTGGACCCTACTGTTATATACAGCAGGTTAAAGACAAAGGTCTTAAACTTATTGTATGAAGAGCTTTTAATAAATGAATTAAAATGTATGTGGACAGATATGACAGGAAGCAGGAAGACAAAGCATGGAAAATAATGCTGATGCATGTATCTGGCAGACACAAAAATTGCTAACATTGACTAGACTTGGATAGCAAAGGCAGATAATTATATAGTGTTTAAATTTATGCAAAATCCCTAAGTAATACCAGGAAATTACTGCTATGTGAAAAGGTGCTGCAAGAACTAATCAGGAAAGCAGCATTGTTCTTTTTTTAATATGAACTTCTAAACACTAACATGATGTGCAGCTGCAGGAAGATAAACAGGATGCTACATGGAAGGACTATATACACAGGAGACTAAAATGCAACACTGTTGATAACAAAAACATGTATCTCTGTATCTCTGGATTAGATCACCTAGACAAGAAAGTTACAGTATGTCTAATAAATTGTCACCCGCTTAGTCCAACTAAATGGCCCAAGAACCACTGTGAACAATCACCGTGCAGTGAATCCTGTCTTATCTGCTCTAAAATACTCCACTCATGATACTGTCAAAGGTGCTGTTTGAGATAGGAAATTATTTGTCATACTGGTTTTAAGTGAATAAAGATGGAAGTTTTATCTTCCCCTAAAATGCAGAAAGTTCAAAGTCCACATATGTGTAATTATAAACATGATCACTAATTAGAGAAGTACCTAAAAGCAATGAAGTAATACTATAGAGTTTAGAGGGAGAATAAAAAATGTCACTGTTTAATACTTTCCACAACATTTCATCCATAAAACAACTCAGAGGGAAGGATGACAATACATATTATCTTCATTTTTCCCCTAGTACTTTTGTCTACTCCCTCCCATTCCTCTCTAAAATAAACAGATGCTTCGCCTATAAGTTAGAGGAAGCAACTGGCAAAAGGAAAAAAATCTTTAAACAGTGCTAGACACAGTGCAGATGCCTGTTTCCCTTACAGCAGAATCTTGAAAATCTGAGCTTACTACTGCTACCAACCCTGACCATCATACAGCAGCAAGATAAGGCAAGAATTTCACCCTCACCTTGGCCTTCCAAGACAGCCTATCGGCCATTCTCAGAAGACAAAATTCTGTTCTGTCTCTGCAGCTGAGAAATCTTGAAATGACTTTGGCTATCCAAAGCAATATCTAATCAGGAACCTGGTTACTGAGGCATTCCAACAGAAAAATTGCTTTAGTTTTTTTTTAAATGTTGTTTATATTAAACAAAACATTTTGTTTAAATACTAAATTATATTTAAAACGTTTTTGCTTTAACTCTGCAAATGGACTTACAGAAAAAGCTTGCTTTTCAAAACTTGCTTTTAACACAAATTTCAGATGTAGGATGCAGCAAGCATGTGTAATATAATCACTGTGATGCGGCAAAACCAGAGTGACTCACATTGTTCTAGTAAAAGAAACAATCACTTGACACAATCAGTTTCACACATTGTCTGAAGGTATGTTTAGCAGTCTATCAACTGTATAAGTGAAATTTTCACAGTTTTGACATAAACATGTCCACTAAAGAGATGCTTTTTATTTGAGAAGCAGCTTACTTAAATGATTTGAGTATCTAAAAAATAAAGCTGTCATGTGCAAAAAGTTTTATTATGTTAAGGACTGTCAGAAACAATTGGCTTTTACAGCAGGAAATCTGCAGCCGCTGAAAGTAGTTCAAAATAACATGGTTATCTAAAGAAATTCCTTTTTTCCTTCCTCCCTTTAAAAGAAACTTCACAGGAAGACACTCATAGTTCAGCATCTTAAATTTTAGCTAAAACCTCTTTAAAGACATTTCCAATATACTCATAAGCAACATAACATTGTTACATTTACTGGGAAAAAAAACCCTTTCTTATAAAGCAGCTGCTTGATTCAGCTTTAAGCTACATGGTTATCCTGGTGATCTAGGACAAAAAAAGGAAGTGTCTGTGGATATTAAAAGCAATGAAGCTTTTAAGTTTTACACATTAAGAGTGCCCTGATTTTTTTTAGGTACAGACTACATATTATACAGCTTTATAGATACTAACATTGCTTTAGGATTTGTGAGCAACACCTAAATTCCCAATAGACAATACTTGAGACTTTTCAGGAAATCCAGCAGACTTGTCTTCCTGAGTGTCAAACACATAAGAGTAATCTGAAAGTAACTGTGGACTGAACTCTCACCTAAACATGTTATACATGAATTCTAGTAGTGACAAGTTAGTAATCAGTGTAACACCATTCAGCATTTTCATTTAAAACTTTCATTTTGTATGTATATTCAGCAATGACGATGGGTACTGAAAGGACAATCGTAAAATCTTCTTGCTATAGAAATCTACAGTGCAAAAACTGTTTCACAGTCTTTCACAGCAACTCTTCCATTTAATGTTAAAAAGGAGAAAACCAGGATGAAAGTTCAGGTCACCTACAACAGGAAAGAAAACTGACTGCTGTTCTCTGTAAGGGACATCCAAATACTAACATGCCAACTAAATCAACTACTTAACCACAGAGGAGAGAAGCAGATAGTTCAATGGAGAATGGACAACAAAATTTGCAGTGCTGGTTTCTCCCTTTTACTAAAGCACACTTTCCATGAAATAGAAGAAAGGTTACTATAATGCTATGAAGTCAAATAAAAGGGTAACATAATGTAGCATGGAAATTCCTTTTAAGTTTCTCTTGGGAAAAAAGAGTAAATAAAACTCCTTATATTGGAATATATAGCTGCAGAATTTTGAAATAGTTTAAAAACTATCTCAAGGGCCTTTGAAGCATTCTTATTAACATATTATATATTTACTTACCCATTCAATGATGGCAGAAGAGAAAGCAATGCCAAAGCAGAAAGTTTTCTTCTTTCTGGCTGAGTGATGTTATCCATCCGATCAACCCACATTTCAATCATGTTACCAAGAATTTGGTCCAACTGCAATGGGAAACAGAACGTTTCTTTTTATTTATGGATTGTGTCAGCCTATTTAGAAAATATTTCCTTGTAATTTTTCTACCAACTGAATATATTCTTCAATCTTGGAATACAGTTATGTATACATAATACATCACACAGCTATGTATAGCTGACAGAAATAGCAAACAACAGTTATTTTTAAAATTTTCTATGACAGTGCTTCCAGGCCCTGAACCCCCCTACAATAATTGTAACCTACAAGTTAGAAATGCACTTAATTCATGAACAGGGCACTGATTCAGAGTAGTGAATTATTCAAACAGTTTTCCCCTAACAGTTTAATACATACAAAGCATGTGAACTTACTCTGTTTTACTTACAATGGTGATAAATTTAAAAAAAAAAAAAAGACTTGTTTTTATCTTTTGAAAACTGTATTATACTCAAGGATAAGAAAATTACTAAAATTCCACTTAAAGACACAGAACACTCATCGCAAAAGAACCTCAGTAATCTCATCAGTGAAACTGTAGCACATTGAACCTGACAACCCAAAAACTCAGGGGAGAATGGTTAAACCATTATCCACAGTGCAAAACCCATCAAGACAGCACAAGGAGAAACTCTTGCTCTCCAAGAGCATGCAAACTAAAGGGGTTTACATGGATAAGTGTGGGATGCTTTAAGGTAATTGTGGGAATATGTAAAAATTGTTACAGGATGTTCAGGGGAAGGAGCAAAGAAGGGGCAAGGGCCCCTTTTCAAGGTGAAGTGTGGAGGAACAATTATGGAAAACAGAGGGAAAAGTTCCTTTCAATCAAAAGAAAGCAAGGCTTCCCAAATACCAAGACACAAAACCCCCAAAAGGACAATAAACCTTACCTCCTGACCCAATTCACATGCCATCTGGCTCAGAAGTAATGAAAAAAACCTTGCATTTTGTAGTAGAACTCTACCCAGGATACCCAGATAAGTAGACATCACCACTGGGTATCTCTGAAACAAAAATAAACCAAAATAAAGGGTGCTTAGTTTAACTAAAAAAAAAATATTTGACACAAAGCAGCAATACATGGAATATACTTGCATGCATCCCTTATATCTTTTATTAAATTTTAAATTATAAATTGTAATTTAAGAGCCCCTCAGAAGACTAAGTGAACAATCTTTACCAGGATTTCTCAATTCCAAACAGCCAAGACAGCTTGCAAAGTGATTTTACTTTAAATTTAAAAACCTGTATCTTAAGGAACAAACAGTATATTATATTGCTAAAAAACTACTTTTGAAGTTGATTAGGGTTCAAAATTACTGCTTACAATTTCAGTACATTAGGAAATGCTTAGTATTTCTGAAGTTGTTACTTATTTCAGAAAGAAGCTATAATATATTTGCCAATAATTTGCAGGTGTTTCAAAATTAACTGGATAAATGAATAAGTTCATTAATTATCTTTTGTTATTACTTTTAAAAGAAGCTACAGAGTTTTGTACTAAATTCAGCCTGTAACAATATAACTGTATTGTTACATAACTGTAACAATATAACAGCTAACCCAGATTAATATATTTTCAATGGAGTACAATGAATTTATTACTCTTAAATCAGAAGGCATTTTAATAATCCACTCTCTATGTTTGTGCTTGGTACAGCAAAAAGTACACTTCTACATAGTATTACTTGGCTTAAATTTGGAAATCTTATTTAACTCAATAATAATGGGAGCCAAATATTGATATTTGAAAGTCTTCAATTCTGGAAAAAAGCAAAGGTTTTGATTCAAAAAGTCAAAAAGCATGAAGAATTCCACCCACTGATTCTGCTGATTAAAATACTTCAATTTTTCTCCTGCTAGTACTGCAAAATTCAACACAGTTAAAGCATATTGGATTTTTCTCTTTTTCATCCAACATGGCAGTTTGTTGAAGACAAAGAGAGAAAATGGAGAAATAAAGACACCTAAGCCAACGAAATCTTAAAAAATCTTCTGTCTTACACAAAGTATTCTCACATTCTTCAGCTCTTCATATTAGATATGTCAATTAGAAAAAGAAGGTCAACTCAATCTTCTCCTTGTCCAGTTTGTTTTTCTCTGGTTCAGGTACATTTAAGGAGTAGTGTGTGTCTTTAAAAAACCCCAACAAAAACTCCAACACCTTCAAGGGATTAAACTAGGCATAGAGTTACAGCAGCTTTTAAGTGTTAATAGTGAAGGAACAGTAGAACAGCAGAATAAAATTTGTTCTGTTTTATTAAAACAAACACTACATGACAAAACAAGTGATGGATATGTTGGTTTATATCTTGCGCTACTATGTTACTTTTACAGACTTAATATAGTTGTCAAAAACCTATCATATGCTCTTAAAACAAGAGAAAATACAATACCAATATGAAAAAACTGGCCCAGATAATGGCCTTTCATGTTCAAAAAGGAAAAGTAGAGAGTAGTTAAAGTAATTCGTACCTCTCCATCTATAATCCCCCTGAATACTGATGGCAGAAGGGGCTGAAACATTTGGGGACCCAATATAGGGTTTACTTTTAGGACATTTTCTACAACCTTAAGGACAAAAGCAAATTAGACAATTAGTAAAGTACATTCATAAATCTTAACTGAAGCTTTAGAGCCACGTATACTGGTGTACATATATAAAGTGCTTGCAGGATGTTTGTCATTAAATACCAGCAAACCCCAGGACTGCTGAAGGTATATTCTAGTAAAGTATTCCACGAACCTGAACCTGCATAAATGGACCTGATGAAAACTGACATGCCAATGAAATCCACCCCTCCAAGCACCTTGTGAGCCTCCCCACAGCCCTGGCAAAGCTGATGAGGTGGTTGGAAGGACCTTGTTAAGGTTCCAGGAAAAGCAGCAGATTGAGGTGGGTTGGCAGGGCAAAGTGCTAGCAGTCAAAGGCTTATTTCCATACATTTGTCTCATGGCTTTTTGAAGAACCATTGACAAGGACCTACCATCTCTTTGCAGATGTGCTCTCAGAGGTGCTATTCTGGGTACCCTGGATACTCTAACTTCCACCTCCACCCCCCATTGAGCTGTTCCCTAAAGTAATTTTTAATCTTGTGTTCTTCAGTTTTTCTTTTGCCCAGATGTTTGGGCTCTCCCCTTGTAGTAAGATGAAGAAGGGAAGAGGCTGTGAGAATAAGGGGCTGATAGCTGCTCACCCCCACTTCTAATAAAGACAGAGACCACACACATATATACACACACTGATGTGTATAAAGCATATAAAGGTACAGTAAAGGTACCTCCCTCAAACATTCTTAGTCTCCACTTATTTCCATCTCAGAGGAACTTCCACAAGGAACTACTCTTCCGTGCTCTTGTCCAATCCCCCCTAAATAATTTTTTTTGCTTTTTGAACTTTGTTCCTACTAGCTTCATTTAATACCCTCTATTTCTTGCCTTGAGAGAGATATTAAGCATCTGACCTTTTACAATGGCTCTCAATTTTGTAGACCTTTAATATACAGAAGTATAAAAGAGATATTTTATATACAGAGCCAAACATAACTTTTCCATCACTCATCTTTCTGGGTACTGGAAGTTTTGGCTAACTCATTTGTTCCTTGCACAGTCTTTTCAAACTTTATACTGTCCATCTCAGATAATTAAAAAAACAAGTCCCATCAAGCCTCAGTAATCTTGCAATAAATTGTCTTATCAGTCCAAATTAGTATTTTTCAACCTTATTAATTTATATTTCTAATGTCTATTTTCAATCCAGCCAAAGCTGTTTGTAGGAAACTATTTCAAAGGATAGCCTTGGGTGTTTCTGTTCCCAATATTTATCTTAGAGGTTTTTTATGTAACAAGTCAGCATAGTGAAGCCTGATAAAATGTTCTACTTTTTGTAAAAATATTTGCAAGGAGTATAGCTCAGTTATCCCTCTGGAATCAACACAGCATAGTTGGAAGATGTTCCAAGTATACTACACAAACCTTGCAGATAATGCAAGGCTACTCTGGGACTCAAGTGAGTAAATGATTTCATATTAGCAGCATTATTCCATTTTAGAGATCTGACTAAAAGCTCCTGCATAAAACATTTGCCCAACTATAGACTCTAAATATTAGTGATAGACTGAACTTGACATTTTAAATTTCAGAACTAGAGTCCTTAAGCTCCTCACAGCAGAAACTACAAATAGGGACGTCTATCAACTTCTGTTATTTTCTGTCCTAGGATCCTGCAAGCAGTTGTAAGACCCACCAAAGAGGCAGATGGGATCCAGTTTATTCCCTCCATTGCATTTACAATTATCTGAATTTAAGTCCAAGTTTTTATAAGCAACACAGAGCCCCCTGTTATGCACCCACTGGAAACATAAGTAGTAATACATTACGGCTACTAATCTTTCAGTGAAACTATCTTTCACTGCATATTCCAAATTTACTTCCTGAAATTCTTCAAAAGACACATTCAAAGTATCATTCTTAATATTTGTAAAGTTTATGAATTTCACATTTCTTTCATAATACCATTTGAAGTTTGTGTGAATATAAGGGGTTTTTAGTACTTTGAAAAACCTCTAGCGGCTCTATTCTGGTCATTACAATAGCCACTTATGCCAAAGGCAGACTGTTTGAACACTATGTCATGGTACATATGCAAGTATGCTATACAAAGGAATTTCACTGATATCACATACATACAACACTCAATATAGACAGGAAAGCTTGCTCTAAGACCTATTACACATGTACAGACTTTAAATAAGTAGTTTAAACCACCAATGACTCCAGTATCATAGTTTGCTAAACATGTTGTTTTCTCCTACATATTCTACATTCATCCTACTTGAAAACATTACATGTACAGAGCTGAGTATCGGGGTATTATTTTTAATATGCTGCACCTTTAAAACTTGAACTTGACCTTCAGTAGTTATGTCCTTCAGAAGTTCACAAAATGACCGGCATAAGTCAGTAGCATACATCTGAAATAAAATGAAGAAGAAGGTATTATGCAAACACGTTTTATGAAGACTCAGCTTCTCTTCAAAGATCCTATCTGCTAAAATGCTCATCATTCCTGAACTAATTAAAATCTAATCTAAGTATTTTGTTGGTTTTTTAACATTGCAGGATTTTTTAAATCCCAAAGAATTTTCTAATGAAGAAAGTATGAGAATAAGGCATAATATTTCTAGTTCAACTCTAGTTAGAATTAATGACCATCATTTTAATCTAGTAGGATAATTAGAGTAACTATTATACCCCACTTTTCAGATACCAAAGCACTAAATCAATCCATAAAGCATTAATTCTAAATAATCTTCTTTCTCAAATCTGATTTGAGTGTCCACCATGCACCATAAAGACCTAACAACAGAACAATAATATGCTTGTATACACATGAGTAAGAGTATAAACGTGTGTATGATATTTTCCAAGATGAGAGAAAAAAGTTTGTCAGTAGGGAACTGAGAAGATAATATGAATTTTTATATAATGATAACATACCTGTAAAAATTCAGATGATGATAAGAAAATATAAGCATTGATGATCTTAAAGCAATTTTTGAGGTTTTCTGAACTCAGCTCTGGAAAAAACAGAAATCACAATTCACAACCTGATCACCAAACTGAAGTACAACCAAAATGATTTGCTTCTAAAAGTCTCTTTCTTCTCACAGCTCACAGTGCCAGACTCCAATAAGTAGAAAAAATCATCTTAGATCCAGTACCAATCAGGTTCTCTCTCCCCACCAGAGACAATATAGAAGTGGGATGACAACAGCTCTCATGTACTCAAAGAGAAGAACAAGACCTCAAAAGCCACTATTAATAAAAAAAATTATGAAGAAAAGGTCAAGTTTTGGATGTGATAGTGGGTTAAGAAGATACTAAAGAGAGAACAAATGAAACATATTTAAGAGACCTACAATTACTGACAAATAATCTCTCACACATTTGAGTCAGTAAATGCTGAGCAGAAGGAATGAAACAAAGATTGCAGTTCTGCTCCTCTGAGCCAGATGCCACGTCAAACGGCATTGAGCTGAAATTTACTGACCTTTAGGGCATACTTCGAGTGTAAGGCACACCTTTCAGTAAGGAAAGCATACCCATTTAAGAGACAGATACACAGAGGAGAAGATATAGAGCAGCAGTTTGAAGAGAGAAAGACGACGTCTTCAGGCACTATCTTTATGGCTGTTTTCAAAATAAAAAATCAAGCCAGAACATCTATAAGCAGAACTCATGGCAAAACAAAAGGTTTCAAAGTTTCACATGGACGTTGATACCAGAGCAGAAAGTCCATAGCCATCATTATCTAAAAACAAGACAAAACACCCAAAAAACCTCAAAGGGCTTGCTAAATTGTCTTAAAACCATCTGTAAAGTTCTGAGGAGTTTCAGCAGTTTTTCTTTTTTTCCCACCCATTAAATACAATATTAATGTTCCTCTATTTGACATGGCCACGGGACAGCTTTGCATTTGTGACTACTTTCATATGTCAGTGCATGGATAGGTCATGTCTTGTTATCACTTATTTTGAATATTTACCTATCTTGACTTGAAAAGGTTTTATTTTTCATCTATCCATCCAATATCCTCATGAAAAAATTCCAATACATCTATGAATTAGCTTTAGTATCAAATTACTAGCGTTATACATGGCAGACCTCCTTAGAGGTCTGCAGTTTGTGGGGTTTTTTCTTACTGGACATTTAAAGTTTCAGACACTGATCCAAATATTCAAATTCTAAGTAAATGGACACATAAACATGAAGTGCTATTAAGTTTTCCATAACTTTCCATTCTGTGATTCTTTGATAACTGATATAAAGGTAGAAAGTATGCGTAGCAAAAATCGTATTTCAGATCAAAGGGCAAAACCAGGTGAGACTGATGTAATGGAAATGACAGAATTTCAGCCGCTCATCTGTGCATAAAGCTCAATGTTTAGTAAAAGCATTTTTCTAGAAAGGTACCATGTTCAACTGATTATATTTAAAAGCTAATTGCGCATCAATTCTCTTGCCAGGTTTTCCTGAATTAAACATATATTTTTCTTAATTAATGTGCTCCTTTGGGTTTTGTTAGGGATCAGAGGACTTAGTCCAGGTCCAGTAATCTGCTTTTTGCCACTACCTTTACAAATACAACACAGGCATATTAAACCTGATGCTTCTTGAAACAGGTATGTCTAGACTTTGACCATATTTCCAACCTGAAATTGTATCAGATTCAGCAGTCATTTTCAGCATCCACAGTGTAGAAATGCATCCAATCCTCAGAGAATTAATGTATTTCTCCATTCCACATCATTCAATCCATTGCAAGACATGGACTAGAGAGCCTCTGCAACCCCTCTTTAGGGTAATTATATATCAATAGAATTTAAACAGTAGCAGCACTGCTGATATGAAAACCAAATATGACGATTATGCTGTGAACTATCCTTGTATATCAGTGATAGCACCATAATCTTTGAAGGTTAAGTGAAATCAAGCCTTCATGGAAATGCAGCGTTCTACTCCTGAAGGTAAATCTAATTGACTTGTATAATTCCTCTGACATCCAGCTCCAACAGCAGTAATATCCTGAAATGGGTATGAAAAGCTCTTTTCAAAAGGACAATTATATCTGGAACGGAACAACTACCTATTATTTTCAGACTCCTTAAAAAAGTAAAATTAAAAACATTTCTATATTTTTCCTCTTTCAGTTCAAAAATCTCATGTACAAACTACTTCTCTCCCTGACTTCCAGATTTTTCTAGTTCAACCATGTTGACATCTGATACCTTTCCTAAATTACTTGCATGCTGATGTAGCAGTTAAATACACCAGAAAAACAGTTACATTACCTCTATGTTACAGTAATTCCATTCAGTAAAACTAATTTCAGAAACTAAAGGTCAGGAAGTTCATATTCCTTACACCGTAATTTCAAGAAAATGATTTTCTGGAGCACCTTGCTAGTTCTCCACCCTGCCCCAGACATAAGCAAGGCAGTTATCTATCCAGAAATTCCCTTCACCTTACCTGTCCTTTGGCTTTCACTTGGGTAACTGCAGACTGAATTGAGAACCAGTTTATCTTTTTTGCCTTATCTCAGACAGTTAAGGCACACAAGACTTGGCAATTTTGACTTCCCAGTAGAAACACCTTGTCCTGACAGATACATCACTGTGCTAAGGACAGGAAGAGCCAGACCCTAAGTGCTGGAAGTTTCAGGTGAACAGTGCTACTTGTATGCTGGAGAAACTCTGCTACAGAACTAAGACTGAACACTTATTTAAATTACTAGCACAGTTGACCATCATTGATCAATACATTTTCTTTTCCGAGACGCTGCACTTTTAACTGTGTTGTTGCACTTGATATAAGTGAAGAACCTCACTTTCAAGTGTAATGAATAAATAAAGTAGCTGCTTGTGGGGTAGTGGATGGCAGTACTGTACTGTTTTTGTAACTACCATGTTTTAAAAAAGGTTAGTACTAATCCAAAACTCCAACTCTATTTAAAGCATCACAATACTATGGCTGTGTCCTGTCAAGGCTGTCCAGTCAGATTCTCCTTATGTAAACACATAGAATTTGCAGGCTTAGAGCATACAGAATGGTTTCCAATTTCTGGCAAAATGTGCATCATTTTGGCTAACAGCAATCAAAATTTTTGACAAACACAACACTCAGAAAACAAGTTTCTCAGAAAAATGCTCAGGAAGTAAATTAGTACTAGAAGTCTATATGATGAAATCCATAGATATCCTTCTATCATTACACATCAGCTGCTGTATTTTTGCCACTCACTCTCATCCCTGAAAAAAAAGGATGTCTGACATAAGAACGTTTGAAGCATCACCCTAATGAAATTCTACCTAGCTTAACTACTACTTGCTCTACCAGCATCATACAACAGCTTTCAGTTTTCAAAACAAGTAACATTCTCTTGAGAATGTTTTTTTTTTTTCAAAAGAAAGCATCACTTCTCTCCAGGATTAGTTCATGAAATAAGGAAATCATTACAAGCATAGAATATTCCCAAATACCTCCCCTTTTTATAAGAAAAGTATGCCAAGGTTTCCATTCATACTTATCTCTACCTTGGAAAGTATCGCCGCTACAGATTCTAACAGGTAGCTCTGGAGTTAAATACTAAAACCACTACTAAACAGAGCAGTTTTATCATTACAGATCTTGTATACAAAGAGAAATAACAGAAGACATCATCTTACACCTACCTATCATGGTCTATTGACCTTTAGTCAGAATAAAGTATAAGCTGAAAACAACTATCAAAAAGATAACTTCCATAATTCTGTGAACACATTGCTCTGAAGAAATTAATCCATTTGATATATTAGCTACACAACCTACAAAAGCACAGCTAAAGATTATTTAAACACAAACACATTAACATAATAAAATTAAACAACAAATTTTTTATACTCCCTTTAATTATGAAGCAAAAGCACCTGAAATATCAGTATTTCCTAAGTACGGAGTCCTAATTCTCATTACTAAGTTTACAGTTTGTCAACAACTCAGGCAAAACTACTGTTTTTAATTTCAGTGCTGCTTGACCAAAATGCTTATAGACATATTAAGATAGTTTGAAAACATCCCACATTTTTATTAACTGAATTATGGAAAGCTAGTAATTGCATTCTGGTTGTAGGCAGAACAGGCAAGTGTTCCATACAGTCAATATCAATAAAACTCAGTAAATTTGGTGTTAAATTTCAGGAACTTCTTAGAATAATCTCTGAAATTATAAACTGAAATTATAAACTGAAATTTGTCTTATCTTTTGGGTACAAGCACCTTTAATTTATTAAAAATAGAGAAATAGAGTAAAGAGACAATAAGTATCAAAGAAGATGACAAAGTCAGATAATAAAACCTGTTCCTCAATTTTTGATAATTACAATTTTGCAAGCTCCCTTAGTACTTGCAGCCACAGCAGCATTACTTAATGCACGAACAACAAGCAATAGCAAAAAAAAAACCTGAAAATTTTATTAGTAAAAGACTTACCAAGGAGGGAAGACATGTTCTGAAATATTCTCAGGAGCTCTGGTGTAAGACATGGACTATTCTCCAGTGTCACTAACCTAAGAATAGATTAAGCAAAATATTTTAGATTATTTATGAATAACATTGAGCAATCATTTTGACAGATGTAAACACACTAACTTCCAGTAACCATCTATACGATCAACAACGTGTAACAATTACTGGAAGCATACTTCAAGCACAGCAATAGTGCTTACAACACACCCATCAGTATAGGTACGGTTCTTGCCAAGACAGGAAAACAAAGAAAAACATGTTACTGTCTTTTTATAATGACAACACAAGGTCTGAAATGCAGCAGCGAGAATGTCTTAGTACCCAGCCTGGGAACTCAGAGAAGGTGGGTAGAGAGGAATATTTACAGTGCAAGGACAATATGTGTAGTGCTCCACACATCAAAGGAGAAGCTGTGGTGGCCATTTAAAATTCCTGAGTTTTGAAAATGGTAGCAACAAATTAAACTTGCATTTAAAGCCACAGAAACAAATTCCATTTTGTTTCTAGATCTTAGGTGTAGGATTACTGTATTTAAATAACGTGTGATTAGGTAAAATATCTTAGCTCTTCTCTTTCTCTTTATTCAAGAAGCCGTTAGAGTCCCAGCTGTCTCTGCCAGCTCCATCCAAATTTCTCTGATGCTCTAGGACATCTTAAAATATCATTCTTCTGCACAGACATCAGAACAGTAACCTCAAGATCAGTATTATTAAGAAGATGTAAAAGTTCTGAACTCATACACTAAAAAGGCCTCTGTCCTAAATTTTGAGAAGCTCTTGCACTTTGACTTGCTGCCACCAGCACTAAAAATCTGTTTTACTGCACATAGAACAGATCATCTGTAGCTTAAGTATTTACAATGCAAATGTCTACAATTTAGATCCAAGGAGTCCCTTACTATTTTAAGACAAACTATGTATTCCTATTCTTCAGGAGAAACAGGTGCTGAATTCAGTCCAGGTAAGAGTTTCCTCCTCCTATAGCATCAGCTGCACCAGAAACAAATCAGGCTCACAGTAAACTGATCGGAACATCACTTCTTGTTTTATGTTCAGTCACCAAACAGCCTGAGATCTAAAAGGTAACTTCTACACTTTATCCTTCTAAACTTGACACCTCTTCCTGCAACCACCTTTGAGAACCACTGGGTCACTGTTCTCCTGAAGTCAAGCATATCAAATTGTTAGTTTAGCATGCATATTGCAGTGAGTCTAGACTTTTTGTTTTCCCATTCATTATCATTACAGAACTGTATCTTCACTATCAAATGCCTGAAAATTAATTACCTACTCAGCTATTTAACTGTGTTTCTTTTATTAACTTCCTACTCTCATGTCTTCTGAGGAAAAGCGTAATATAGATGAAGTCAAGGTAAGGTAACAAGAACATATAAATTTTAATATTCAAAGCTTTTTACAATTTTTTCTTCTGTGGATACAAAAATAATTGTTTTAAAATTACAAACTGATAGAAAAAATTCTTACCACAGCTCTAAACCATCTTCCAGAAGATAAACATGTGGAGGCTGAGAAACATCTGTACTTAGCTGAATAACTGGAAGTAGAAAAGGATAGAGATTTTTGCTGTCTGCTCCCAGTCCCTATGAAAATAAATAAGAAATGTAAAATATGTCAAAAACCTCAAACCAAGCATAAAGAATAGCACTGGAAAAGATCTGCAATGCTGTTATGTTCACAAGTAAACGTGCATCCAAGAAATCAAAGGTTGAACTCTAATTGATTTCATACAACAAACAACAAAATAGTCTGATAATCCTAAGCTTTCTCTCAACATGCTTTTTGAAAACAATCCTCTTATCAATAATCTGCATATTGTTTGTCTCTAAGAGAAACAATACACATTCCTAAAACATTCACTGGTCATTCTCTTTCTTGGAAGAGTCACAAGTCTAACAAATACTACATGACTAAATGGTGAATGTTTTACATATCAAGAAAAGAACTACTCTTTGCCCTTGCCACACATGAAATCATTTACGTATTCTAAGAATCAAGAGAAGGGTTTGTTTTCTTAGCTACACAAAGATTCACAATATGATGACAGTCATTTATTTTTTAAATGATCCATGAGTCATATGTAAAGATTTCTTCCCAATAATGCAGAGTAAAAAATTTCTTAGCAATCACTTAAAAAGAAAACCCAATTTTTAAAAATAAGCTAAATAGAACTACTATCAAACTAACAACAAATAAGAACTAATCCTAAAAGGAACAGAATTCTTAAACTGGGAACTGCCAATTACTGAACAGCATTACAACATATTGTAATATTACTAGTTAAGAAAAACTGAAGCTAGTGGAATGCTGAATTTGCATAATTCCTATATTTTGATAATGGTTAATTTAAAATTATTTGATGTTTCTAAGTTAAAGCTTCTTTCTCCATTTCTTTATTTAAACAAATTTACCTTAAAAGAATCTTCCATAAATTTGTCTAATACAAAGAGAAATACCTTTTGTATACAAAAATACCTATATTTTTAGGCTCCACAGGGGCCAAACCCAACAATTTCCACAATTTGTTTACAGTAAAAATATATTTCCTCTTGTTTATAAACTTACTCCACTTTTAAAGAAACCCTTATTTCTCCTCTCATTGTAATGTTTAGTCATTCCCTTTCCACTCCCTCTCCCCTGTTAACCTGTATGATACCATCCTCTTAGTCATGCATTTCCCCAAGTTCAAGATTGCCTGCATATTAATTCTGTTCCTGTATGGACACTGTCCTACATCCTCAGAGCACTTCTCTTGATCTTTGCTGGTCCTACTATAACTTTCTTGAGATGCAGGAAGGGTTGGAGAAGGTAGGATAGCATACAGTCTGTGCTAAAGAAGTAGTTAACAGCATGGATTATGCAGGCAGTATAACCATGTATTGTTTTATTATTAAGAAAGAACTGTAGGAGATACTGACAACATTTACATGACTGATTCCTTACCTGGACGAGATGGATTAGGGTGGTTAGAATGGCACATCGTAGCATGTTGTGCTCCTCACTCTGCTTCCAAAGGAGTGGTAAATACTGAACCAAACATCCTACATATGGTCGTATCTGAAGTTCAGAACACAAATTGGTTTCTTAATGTGTAAACGAGTCTATTAATTTATCCCCAGCACAGTTTCTCAAAAAATATAAGAGCTGCTTTTGTCACAGTAAAAATACCAAGTTTGCTTTAATTTACTCCTCTTTCTTCTTTCTAAAACACCATATTCTTTACTCTGTGACTGAAGTAACTTCTGACTGCAGAGTAGTTTGAAAAGAATAAATTACTTACAGTGATATTTGTGCACAGCAACCAGGCTTAAATAGTAAATGGAACAAAAAATACTTACAATTTGATAACCAGTGATATTTTCATAGTAATATATTCTTCACTAAACAGGATTCCTAAACAACAGAATTCTCTAAGACCAGAAACAGTCCCCCCCAAAAAAGCTGAATAACCTCTGAAGTCATCCATCCTTTGAGCAGGGGTGAGACTTCAAAACTTCCAGAGATCTGCCCTAACATACATTTTTTCTATTATTTTCTTTTATTTTCTATTTTTTCTATTATGCTCTTCAATACTAAAGGGTTAACCTATTTGTCATCTAAAGTATTTAATTATGAATTAACCTAAACAGATTCAAGGGGTCTTTCTCAACTTCTTTTTAATGCTGCATCTCTAGCTGATCTGAAATGCAGAGAAATCTGGGAAATCTGCTGTCATGTTGACTTCTTCTACAGGGGACAATTATGAAAGCTTCATTTGGCTCTCAGACAGGATTATTTGTAGAAAGAGGAGATAAGCTCAAAAACACACATTATCTCTGTCCTTCATATTGGGGAAAAAAAACCACAACAAAATCTGAGACAAAAGCAATCAACTATTGATTCTTTAATTCTGCAAAACCATCTTTGATTTCTTTATGTATAAGCTGAAGAACATACTTTAACATTAACATAATGTGAATTTGAAACTTTTCAGGAAGTTAAGGAGGGTGGTGTATAGGCAACTATGACCCATATCAGCACCAATGAGAAACTACAAATTTAACTGCACCGTGCCTAAGGGTGCAAAGTATTTTGTTCCCCAAATGTCTCCTTTAACATGTAACATTAAATAAAATATTAGTTCAGATCTATGATGGGACAGTTAGAATAAATCACAAATACAGATCTATGATGAGACAATTAGAATAAATCACAAATAAAAAAACAAAATTGCAAGAAAGACCATAAGACAAGCTGTTAAAACCCTTCTGTACTAAAAAAGATGAGTCAATACAAAAAATACATAGTAACTAAAGAAAAGTAGTAACTGAGCAGAACATTTTACTCAAAAGGTAAATAAGAATTGAAAAGAGAAAAGAGGAATGCAGGCAGCTATGACAACAATAACGAGTCTATTAACTTTCTTTTCCATTTTCTTTCACACCAAGTCCTCCCCTGTGTTCTTACAACAAGGTAACACTGAAGTACATAATAAAAAATACCTGCATATTGACTCTTTCAATCACACAAGACAGAACATGAAGAACATGCATTTTAGTGTCACATTGCGTTACTTCCTGTAGTAGCTGAAAGAGCAGTGTAAACATGGATTCCAGATACTAAAAGAAAAATAAAGAACTACAGATTAGACCATCAAAAATACAATTAGTGACAAGAATTGGTAACTTTCCAATGTATGCTTACAACTCTAAGACACCCATAAACTTTGAAAAACACTTTGAATGTGTGCAAAATGTTACTCTTTCATTTTGGAAAATGCACACTAGGCAGTCATTGCCTAAGCAAGGTAAAAAAATTCAGATATGCTCTTACATAACAGTTCAAACATGATCAGTTTGACTATACACCATTTTCACACTTTGGTAAGTGTAAACATGATTTCACAGGTAAAATAGGCTGTCGCTCCAGAAGGAGCACTTTGTTAAGTGTCAAAACAAAGGTATGGTCTTCCAGCTTTTGGGCCGGTAGATAAATTTAAATATTGAGCTGAAAAAGACATCTTAAAACAATTCCAGTATTTACAGTCTAAATGCACTCTGGATTTTTGTTTTATTTGTTCACAAGAGAGTTGAAATCTACATGGAAATCATAATCAAATGAGAAACAACTGCTAAATTTGAGTGATCAAAGTAAATCTTTGCTGTACTTATAATTATTTACTTCATGACAACAGTAATGACCACTGTAGAGAACACAAGTATAGGAGAACAAGAAAGTCTGTGTTTTTTGGGCACTATTTTAACGAAACATTTGTAATTAGTATTTTTATGAAACAGCAGGTTGGAAAGTAGTGTGAAACAGGCACACAGGAAAGCCACACTGGTGTGGAGACATATTTGTTAGATAGAGTATTAATACTGTCTTAGCAAAAAGAAACTTACTATCTGTTAACACATAGTATATACAGTACTAAACACACTGCTACAAAGTTGTGATTGCTGTAATCACAACTGTGACTGTAATTGTAATACTAAATTGTAATACTAAAATGTTCTGAATTGTATGTCGTTTTATTGCACATTAGCAACCTTAACAGCAGCAGTATAAGTATAAATTTTGGTCTATGAAGACTGAAAAAATAATACATACATATACACACACCTCCCACACACTCCTAATTACTAAATAATGTAGTTTAAAATGAAATTGGAAAATATTTTTTCCTGCTTTTCTCTATGGATTTATCTACTCTTCAGAATATATAAATGCTCTTACCGGTAAGAACTGGTCAGTTCTGAACTCAAAGTCATCTACAGGTGAACAACCATTAAGGAAAAATAATACAGATTGCAGATGGATACAAAACTCAAATAAGCAAGTACTTCATGAATACACAAAAATTATAATGTGAAGAATTTGGTAATAAGTTTAAAATTGCTTATTTTCTAGTAACTCTGAATTAAGAACTAATCAAACATCTTTGCAAAAAAAAGGATATTTAACTTCAGTGTTGTAGCTGTCTCAATACGGACCTGAAAGACAAAAGTCAAAGCATAATGCATATGTCCATTAAACACTTTGATTATCAACATAATACCTGACAATACCAAATCAGTTGATGTTTTGGCTGTTGAATAATTCTCTGTGTTCTGTCATGCACTAAGAAATGCAGTTAGTTAAGCTCATTTTCTTTTGCTTCATTTTAGTATACTTTACATTTTATTTGAAAGAAGACAGAAGTTCTCCATCAGCCTGCACCTCAGGAAGTCCCCCATCATCCCCACATCACCATTGACCAATCAGAACTCAAATCAGTCCAACAGTTCAATTACCTAGGCAGCCTCATCTCCTCGGATGGTAAGATTGACGGATGGTAAAATTGACGGGGAGATAGACAACAGGTTAGCAAAGGCATACAGTGCTTTTGGAAAACTCCATAAAAGAGTATGGCGTAATAAACACTTGAAGAAAAGTACCAAGATCAGTGTTTACAGAGCCATAGTGCTGTCTACTCTTTTATATGGTTCCGAATCATGGGTCATCTACCGCCACCACCTGCGTCTCCTAGAACGCTTCCATCAACGCTGCCTCTGTACAATCCACTGGTCAGATTATGTGACCAATACATCTGTTCTAGAACAGGC